AAATATTCAGTACTGAGGAAGTGATGTGGTGCAGGAATAAAAGGTTGTTTGTGAGCACTGGCTGCCACCAGCAGTGCCACCAGTCTGACAAGAAACTGATAAAAGCACTTTCTGAATGTCTTCCAAAACTTGGCAGAGATGCTTAATGCTTTTTACGCTTAAGCTCTTGAAAGTTTACCAGAGAAACATGGCTTTACTGTTGTGCCAGTGTCCTCCACACAAGCACGCATCTATAGCAGGAGGAAACCTGACACTGAATACAAGAAAATACTAACATTTAACATGTGCAGATTAAGTGCAAATGCTTGGGTACATGTTACTGTTTTGCACTCCAATTTCTCACCTGTAACACATAAATAACTTGAATCATGAGTTGGACTTATGCTCCAGGTTGCTCTGCAAATTTGTTATTTCTCAGTGTCAGTAAGACTTGCTCTTCCTTTTCTTTCCTTCCTTCCTTCCTTTCTTCCTTCCTTGTATATCCCCTCCCCTATTTTTCCTTCCCAGTTGTACCGTTTTAATTCTAATTCAGAGCTCAGAGAATTTTGGTTTCAATTCAATGCAATTCTCTAGACAATGTTGCTGATGCTGCTGAGGCCTTTATGCCTTAAAGTACAGCATCTCTGTTTGCTCAGGTTGGATATTAGGAAAAATTTCATCTCCAAAACAGTGGGGAGGCTCTGGCGTGAGCTGCCAGGGTAAGTGATGGAGCCATGGTCCCTGGAGGCATTCAAGAAACGTGTAGATGTGGCAGTGAGGAACACAGTCAGTGGTCATGGTGGGGATGAGTTGGTGGTTGGGCTAGGTGATCTTAGTGTCCTTTTCCAACTGTAATGGTTCTATGACCTTATTATCTGAACACTCCAGACCCCCCAAAATTGTGTTCATAAAAATTAAAAGAAAATACATGGAGGTAGGGCCAGAACAAAGTCCTATAACATGTGTTTCAACCTGGATGTCTTGAAGTAAAAACCTGCTGTAGTCAATAAGTCCCAACAGTGTACTGTAATGGGCAAAACCCTACTTCTTAAAATGTATTAAAATGGAGAATGAAATTCTGGCCCTGCAGTGTCAGCAATAAAGCTCCTCTTGTTTTACTCCATGTGTACATAGATCTACCTTATCCTCTATGGTATTTCCAGCCTACATGCAGTTCAACACACACACAGTAGTAAATCTGATTTGATGTGGCTGCCAGTCTATTAGCACTCCCAGCTGCCTGGAAATACCAGCCAGACATGGGAAATACTACAAATCTGCCAAGGCACAATTTCTGAACAGAAGAAGAGGTACTGGGGTTGCCCTGAAGTATAATATATATTCCCAAGCTGCTTGACTTTGTCTTTGTAGAGAGCCTCGCACCTTGGACCTACTTATGGCTTACACACAATTTAAGCATGGTGCTTTTTTTGAAGTAATGGCAGAAATGTGATGCATTGTAAAATGTCCATATGTGTCCTGTGAAGCAAACAACCCCCCTTGATTCTAGCAAGTCCTCAATCCTGCCAAAATGTGGAGTGAAGCAGCACCAGTCCTGCCTGATCAGAGGGACATTCCTCCTGGGTTTCTGTGCTTTGTTGAAATTCTCCAAAATTAATAAGCAGCATTACCCAGATCCAAAATCCAGGAGAAAAATGATAAAGTGATTCCTTGTTCTACCTGATCAGCAAACAGGCAGGGACAGGCATAGCTGCTGGGGAACCAAGGTGTGCCCATGCCCATGCAGGATCTTGGTTTTGTACTTGCTGCTTTGAGGTCTGACTCTCATGCCTGGGGGACCTGTGAGCACTGCGGTCACACAGGGCTGCTCCAGAAACAGGAGAAGGGGACCATGAGCAGCAGGAGCAGGCAAAGTTTGCTTTCTCCATCTGTTTTGTATTGAGAGAGCTATTACTGAGTAAAGTCAGCTGAGACATCCCAAGTCATTGCAGCCTGAATATTTAAGCTAGACTATAAATATCTGAATTTACTTTTTTTTTTCTTTAATGGTGATTATTATTTATGCTTTCTTCCTCTTTACTCTCCTTTGATTTAGTAGCATGAGGAGGTTTGTATCACTTCAGCATTGGAAGCAGCTGTTAGCCCCACTGCAGATAGCTCCTCGTGGCTTAGGTACTTTGGGATTGCACTGTCCATCTCCCCTCTGTGCTGTGACCCCAGGTGGCTCAGAAGTACTTTGGGTCAAACTTATTATATACCATTCACCATCCCAATAAACAAGTAGCGTGTTGTCACATTTGGAGTGCTGCGTATTTTTCTAGTAATTATGTCTTATTATATATTTACCATTCAGAAAATGCAGGTGTGGGCTGTTGAACTGGGGCCAATAAGAATTCGCCGAACTGGCAGCAATTCCTCAGTGAGTCATGTTTCACTGTCTGTTGGTTTTATAACTGTTTTCACTACTAATTTAGCTCTGCGATGCAATATGCAATTAGTCCTATTATGGAAGCAGCTGTATTCAGTTTTACAATGGCACTTTCCCCTTTGGCTTGTACCAGAGCCTGTTGTGGTTCTGCTGATTTGATGACTGAAGTTGTAAAGTGGTATCTGGATGAGCCACAGTGAGCCATGAGCCTCATGCAAATATGATTCTTGCTTATACACCACTGCTCTAATGCTATTTCTTACAGCCCAATTAGAAATGCGGTCACAGAGAAAGCTGTTTCTTGCTACAGTAAGTAGTATTGTCATGCAGCGATTTGTTGCCACGCTGGTATCACCTCTGGAGTCTTGCTGCTTATTATAAATAACATTTGTCAGGCAGAATGTGCAAGCAATAAGCTTCTGCTTGGAAATTAGCTCTTGCAGGCTTCAAAAATCAGTTCCTGGGCCACAGTGCAGCCCTGAGGCTGAAAAGGGACCAAAAGAGAATGGACCCTGAGCCACCAGCTCCATTATTGCCTATGTCCAGCACTTGGAGGAAGAATGCTGGCAAGTCTGTGTCTCCAAATCTGTGACATCTGAACAGCAGAGAAGTAAATAAAAATATCAGTCATGCTAGCTAACTGTCTTTACTGTCAATGAGGATGTGAGAAATATCCAGTACATATTGTGCATTAGTTTAATCCATATTAAAGCAACTCTATTAAAAGAGCAGGGTTTTGAGAAACTGCTGAGAACATTCACTACATTCTTCTACTGTGTTATTACCCATTTTCACACCCCTACATATGTTATGGTTTTGTTGCATGTCACACAAAATGGTAATTTGGTTGTGAAAAAATGAGAAATCATGACATTTCACATGTGTTTTCAGTAAAGCAACAATTTTCCTTGTAACGGGCCCCAGTTTTCTTACTCAGAAATAGGGCTATTTACAATGAAAACGTTCCTGTTGTGGTGGAGTAATGACACGAAGAAAGGAACCAGGCTGAACACTGTGCAGAAAAGTTAAAACGCCGACATTTCAAGTGCTTTGAATTTCAGGTGAGCATGTTGCAGTCTCTCAAACACTGCCCCGCTGACTGGAGCACACCGGCAAAGGAGCTGGCCCTAACCAAGCCTGTCCACTTGCTAAGATTGTTCCTGACCACTGTTGCCTGCAGTTATCATTTTGGTCAGACTATTACAGTAGAAGCTATTTTCCAGGAACTTGTCATGATGAGAAACAAAGGAGCTCTCTGCTCTGCAGAGAAAAGCCATTTGGGAGAGCTGGACCGGCTGAGAGTTGGTCATTTGCCCAGACCTTATCATTTTCTATCCAGAGGCTGGCTTTATGCTAGAGTAAACAGCTGGAGCTACGCACCATATTTCATCCAAAGCATGTAAAACAATAATGAACTTTATGGTTCTACAAAGATTTGCAAAATTATTCCCAGGTCTAAAGTTTAATTGTTTAATGTCACCAAATGACTTTGCAATAACTGAGCACAGTGGAGTGGCAGAAGTTAATCACTTGACTGAAGTGAATTAAGATTTTCTAAAGCTACATTTATCACTGTAATTTCAGGCTAATTTCATTTTCCATTCATAAAATATGATTTCAGTTTCTGTATCTCTATGAGCTGTGGAAAAGGAACGTGGCTGTTTTATAAAGCATGTTTTTGTCAAACAATGTCAAAGGTGATGTATATACTGATAACCGGAAAAGGCTAAGCTTATCTTGGCATCTTCAATTGGCATTGCACGTGCCTTAGAACTGAAGTCCATGTGCTGTTGAAGACTTCTCTTTTGAATCTCAATGGGCCAAATTTTCAAAGCATTAGCTTTGATTTATCTGTTTTTCCAGTCTCCTGTCAGTAGGCAAACACAACGTCAGCCATGCTAAAAGCAGGAGCCAGTTGGGACAGCATTGCTCAAAGCCAAGCCATGAACCAAAAGAGCTGTCCCCAAGGGCTGTCCGCTTTCTGATCCTTCAGACACCAGAGAGGACGAAGGAGGCAAAGCTGGCTCACTGTCCTCCTCAGACATATCACACACCCAACGCTTGCCTATCAGGACAGGGAGCTCAGCTGAGTCCTGGTCTGCCTGAAGGCTCAAGGAGAGTCTCCCAGAGCCAGGGTGAAGCTTCCAGGTGGACTAGAGGGAAAGAGAATACCCATTCCTTTCTCAAACATGCTTCAAGTTCACCATCAACATAGTTAGCTGCAGATGGTCACACAGTGTCTGGCAACTCGGTAAATGGTAGGTTTTGACATTTATTCTTTGCACAAATGCATGAAGAATGAATGAATTAAAAATTTCTCCAAGAGTGAACTGTACCAAACTCTGGACCAAAATCTGTAAAGCACTGAACCCTCTCCTCGTCTTCTGATGTGGCTGAGCACTTAGCATCCACAGTCTTTTTCACCTTGCAGCGCTGACGTACAAATAGACAAAGCTGCTCATGATGACAACATTTCTGCAAAGTTTCCCAGAGATCTAATAGCTCAGCTAAAACTGGGACCCGTATCAGTGTAGCTATTTGGCATTTTTGTAATTTATATGGAAATTAGGCCATCTTCTACTACCATTTTCTTTCTCTCCCTCTTGCATAATCCCCTTTCCCTTGAAGAAGGCAAAATACATTACTTACCGTTTTCCGTTAGTAACGAAGATCCAATGGTTAGTTCTGCTATGGTTGCACCCATACAACAGCTTGCACATTCCCACTAATCAGAGTATGTACTCAGGCTGTGGACACATGCTGTCCTGGTCTGAAATTACTTCCAGGTTAGGCCATTGCTGCCTGCTCATTTCCCATGCTTTCTCTCCTTCACATTTTATAGGTTTGTTAAAAATTAGCCACAAATCCAGCCTAATTTTAGTGTCCTTTTTATTCATTTGTTCCAACTGTTGTACTCCCCTGAACTCTTCCTCTCATACAAGTACAATTTATTCCCACACGTGGCAGGCATGCTCATGAATTATTTATGTTGCTTTGATAACTTATACTTTGAAAATAATGAGGAAAGCAAATGTTTCCAGTGTAGAAGTCATAACAAGCAAGAAATCCAGCGAAGCTACTGGGCAAGAAGGTGGTAAAATGCCCCAAGTTAAAAAAATATACCTTTTCAATGTCCAAAGAAACATCGCAAAAGTCATTCAAAGCAAGCACCTATCCTCAGAAACGGTGCTATTCAGCTCAAATTAGGAACCAATATCTTGCAATGACCAAAGAAGCTCTCATTTCTCCAGTTTGCATCCTGTACATGGGAAAAAATTTTGGCAGGCTGAGGGTTGAATACATATACAGCTGTCTCATCTATTGCACCTGACACACGTTCTGGACAAAGGTTGTGTGGGATAAACCAATGACAGCTTTTCCATCTACTTGCAAGCAGGGAGAAACTTCCCTACTTCCCCTCACAAATTAGAAAGACTGAGGTCTGCTGAGAGGAAGAAAATTGTCTATATACACCAGGGGAAAACACGCTATGCGATACAGCTTCTGGGTGCTTTGGTCTTACATCACACTGAGAGAAAGAGTTAGGCATTGCTTTTGCTTCCTGAACACAGACCACCCCACAAAGCAGGGGATGCAATATCTAATGAAGTAGTTCATTTAGGCAGAAATTTGGTAAAAGTCTGAGAAAATTGTTCAATCATTTTCAAGTGTTAAACAAAAAAGAAACGAGCAGGAAAGGATATGCTATCTCAGCAAAGGGGAGAGGAATGTAACAAAATAATGACTTGTTTTACACAGACTTCACCCCTCGTTTGTGCAGAAGTGGTAGGAAGCAAAGCTTCCTGAAGGCAGTGTAATGTTAGCAGCCTGGAGTGTGAGGAATCAGCCATTTCACCCCGTGTACTGACTGCTGGGGCTTTGAGCAAGGCAATCAGCCCATGGGCCAATATTCCTGGCAGAAGGGGCCATGCGGCCTAGCATCAGTACTGCCTGCATGTACTGCCTGACAAAATGTCTCATGTGACACTTTTGTCACCAGGGCTACTGAGCTGGATTAGATCAGTGTAGATGTACGTTCCACGGGTTGTCATAGCAACGAGAAACTAGGCAGGTGGAAAATGGCTCCCACCTATCCTCCCCAGACTTCATGGGGCTGTGTGGGATGGAGCTGGGGGCTCAAGGCCTTTGAGGCCTGGCAGGTGAGGCCTGGAAGATGGCCCTGCCTGCGGGAGCCTGTGCGCCCCTGTGCCTGGGCAGCTCTGAATCCCAAGACCCAGAGACCTCCGGTCTCTTCTTCCTTTTCCTCAATAGGTTTAAGCTTGGCATTTCTCTGCTTTGCGATAGATGTGCAAGAAGAAAAAACACTGAAATACATCAGGAAACTGATTATTCTAAGGTTTCTGATGTAATTCAGAATGCTTGGTAAATGTGATAGAAAAAAAAAAGTAAGCTAAATATTCTAAAAGCATAATCCAATGCAGATTTGCAGTCTCTATGCTTTATGCACTAGGCTGCACAAAAAGAAAAGGAAACTCCATTCAAAATGAAGATTCCTAATTAGAGATTTTACTTTTTTCCTTGGAACATTTTGACATTTTCTTTTTGCTGTCCTGCAGCAGAGTTCTTTGAGACAGCCTGGTCTTCCACCAAAGCCAAGTAGTGAGAACTACCAAGCACTGTTTTTCCTGGAGCCAAGTGACATAATGCTCAGCTGCACAGCCTAGGCAGGCTGTATTGCCCAAAGACCATCAGTCTTTTATTTGTTCTGTATTGATTTGACAGATTGTCTGTCCCAACCTACTCCTTTCTCCTTACATGTTTTCCAGAGCCAAATACTATATTGAACAGGTTTCCGTGCTGTTTAAAAAAATTGTATTTTTCCACAAAATCAGTCCCTCCCAGTTTTAAAACCCATCTGCCAAAAAACGTCACCCAAATATCTTGTTTCTTCCTATTGTTGATTTTGGAAACTGTTGGATCCTTTGGCTGTAGTTAAGTATCCTTAAAGAAATCAGCTGGAGAAAGAAAAATGTCAGCGCAAATAGTTTAAGCCTGGCAAAATGATAAGCAAATGAAAACAGCCTTATTAAGTTTGGGAAGCCCAACAGTTGTGTGATAGCTTGATATCCATACTAGATCTTCCACTCATCTAAAGGAAAAACTGATAAGAATTCGGGAAATAAACTTTATATGCTGTTGCTAAAGTTAATGAAGAAAGACAGGAGGCCCCCCTCTAAAGAAAGGAAAAGTCAAGTTACAGGAAAAGGAAATAGGTGCTGGAACAAACTCTTCAGTTGTATAGTTGCATCAGTTTGGAGGTGTTCAAAACAAGGCTGATATAAAAGGTCACTATAACTGTTCCTTACCAGGGTTTGGACTAGGTGACCTGAAAGGTCTTTGCCAAAGCTATTATCATTGGTACTGTGATACCTTTATAAGACAGCTTTTGTACTCCAATAACTCAAAAATTGATGTTCTTTCCAGAATGACATTTCAGAACCTGTAAATCCTAAAATGGACTAATGGCTTTGACTTTTTGGGGTAGAAGATTGGTCTTAAAAGTAAAGGACTAGCTTGTGCTCAAAACTTCTGAGCCTTTATTTGTTGGGTGAGAAATGGTTCACACACTTCCCCTATCAATAATGATGGTTCAGAAGATGTCATTAAAGTTGAGAAGGTCAACAGTCTGTGAACCACAATTTAAGTAAATGGGCTTTGAGAGAAAGCCTTTGAGCCAGCCCATGCCATGGTGGTCTGACATTAACTAGATAGATACATTTCTTTGGAGATTCAAGGGATATTCAGATATTTTCTCACAAATTTGAACTCATCTTATGGATTATGGTATTTTTACAATTTTTTTTTTTTTTTTTAATGGAGGCTAACATTCACATATACAATTTCTTGGCTTGAAAGAGGATGTTTCTTTCTGCACAGAAGAGAATCAAAAAAGATAAGAGATGGTAAAAGCAAATATGATTGCAATCTCTCAATGTTACTTTTCTCTCTAGTGCTACTGGCTCTAATGTTGGTTTTAATTACATTTAAGACTAATGTACATCACTTGAGACAGCTCCTGAGTCTTACTCTGCAAGTCCCTTAGCAATTCCTCAGTGCTATTTCTTGAGAACACCTGAGAAAATGAAGAGTTGCTCAGTGTCTCAATCATCATGTAGGTTGTATCAGAATAATGATATTTTTCTCTCGTCATTACAAGTGATCAAATAAAGACAAGATTGTACGATACTGGTTAGTATACAGATTGTAAAAAATAAAACAAGTTTAAAGAAAAAACAGGTGTGGATTTAGTGCGCACACTGTACTTTAGCAGCAGCAAAACAGAGCTCCATCCAGCTCATGGTGGCATATGGCCCAGAGCAAATAGCAGCTGTATAAAATTTGTGTGTATTTTTGTACAGTTCCTTTGACCTGAATATTTGTCTTGTGGAATTTCAGACAGAATCAAAAGCTGTATTTGCTGTCAAGGTAGGCATACCACGCGTACCCAACTACCTAATCCTGCATTCCTTGTGCATTCCAGGTACCCACAAAGTCAATGAGAATTTGAGATGCAGAATGAATACAGGGCCAGGCACATCATTTGAATATTTTAAGGAATGTTCTTGGATTTTTACAGTTGATGTCATGTTTTCTACCCCATCAATATGGATTAACAATGGTCCAGAACAGCAGGAACTCATTTCTTATTCATATATGCTAATTGCATGGTGCTGGATAGCAGCGATTTCTTCCTAAACTTAAAGTTTGTGTGGGGATTTTTTTTTTTTTTCAGCTAACAGAATAGAGAAAGGATGTGACTATGAAGCAGAGAAGTGAAGAGGATTTAACACAAACACTGAAATACTCCATACCTCTAAACATGTACCCCATACTTTAAAAAGATTTTATACAATTCACATGGATATAACCCATCCTTCCTTAATCTGAACCCCAGCTGACTTTGAGGTAAGACTGTAAATCCTGTAGTATATTTTTCTTCATTGTTTCAATACGTTATTTCATTTTTTGAAATCTCTGTGGAAGTAATTCATTAATAGTTTCCTAGTTTCATAGCACCACAGTATCCGGTATCTTAGAACAATGCATGAAGTAGTATAATCACTTGGTGCGTGAGACAGAAGTATATACAAAACATGCTCTATCTTCTTAATAACAATTCTAGATCTAATGTTTCATATTAATATACATTTATTTTGCAAAAGACCTGGTCCAAAGGTGTCCTGTCTTTGCAGTAAAAGATGGTATGTTGTGAGATACCGGTCCTTTACTTCTGCTAATCTTGGCTGGCTTCTGATGTGCTGGATAGGACTGCTAGCTCTGATGCAAATATTTTTGCTGTTATTGCCTAGTTTTGAGAAAACAGATGGAAGTAGAGTTGTTTCAACTGGGATAGGCCTTCAGCAAAGATGTTTTTAAAAAATTGCATTTTTTTCTAATGCTTTTTGATTTCCTAATTTGCCTGTCTCTATCCAACTGATCTAAAGACTTAACGGAACTCAGGAGTCTATGGACAGATGAGCATGGAACAGTGTTATTTATGTTTTCAGACAATGCACACAACAAATCTGTTTTTCTCTCCTAGTTACCAATGCCAACTAGAAACATCTATCATCATTTTATAGGTCATCACATCATCATATGGACATAGAATCTGTTTTTCACAAGCTCTTTGATTAGATTACTAGTATTAGATTATGGGGGCTTTGCTGATGCTAAAAGCCTATTTACTTATAATTATGAAAATAGCACCAGCAAGCTATGGCCTCTTTCCTCTTTTTCTCTGCATGCTCTGAATTCAAGGTGCTTTCTAGTCATCTGTTCATCTTTGAGTGCTGTTATATGACATCTATTGCCTTGGTGTCCAACCACCAGCATTCACAGCAGACACTGGAAATTTGGCAGCAGCTGTGGCCTGTGAGTATCTCAGCTGTAAGCAGGGAAGGCAATTGCATTCGTATTGAAAAATCCCAATACATTTAAAGGCAGGCAGGGGACCTTGTTTTGAAAACCCAATGAGACCACGGGGTCTGGGAAGAAATCCATCCTTCCACTTCACCACAGCTCTACCATGCTACACTCAGCAGAGCAGTGGCTCAGTGACTGGGGCACCCCGATCCCCTGCCTCATTCCACTCCTTGTGGGAGGCAGCAGGAGCAATGAGATGGACGCTGGCCAGCCTTCTCCTGTATGCCTGGGAAATCTGCCACTGGAGGAAAATCCACAGCAGGAGCCTGCCATGTATTGTCTGCTCGTGCACTGCACGGCATGACGTTGGCATAGGAATCAAAGCAGGGTAGAAGGTCTGTCATAATACATGATTTTAAAACTAGAAAAACAAAGGGACCAATGCTTTTTTAGTATACGTTTTGCCTTATAGATGGAGACAAAGAGGAGGGGAAAAGACAGTGTTTAAAAGGAAGAAAATGTATTTATCTCTCACATAAGAAACATCTCCTCATATGACAGCAAGGAGAATAATATTATCTTTTGCTCTACTAAATAATCAGAACAACAATTGTAAACACAATTGGACTTTCAAGCAAGAATGAGATGAGAATGCCAAATCTACCACAGCAGCTCAATAGCACCAGCACCTGGTAACGCTGTCTCTTTCTGTTTGCAAATGAGCGTTTGTCTATCTGTATGTAGAGCATTTATATCTAATTCTGTCAATTTGGATTGTAGATATTGCATTTTCCTAGAATTAAAGCAACTCCCCTTATAACTTCTGAGAGATTATTAGGTGTGATTTTCAAAAATATCGAGCTTTTATAGTATAACTCCTTTTGACTTGACTGAGAGCTAAACTAGTTGAGGATCAGGCACATCTGAAAATCATATCCACCTTTTTGAAGACACAAAGTGCATTTTGTATTGACATAATAGTACATCTCATTCCAAGTTTTTCACAAACAGTTGAAATATAAGTTCCATATCATGCCTAAAATGCACGTATTTAGCATATTCAAGCAACAAAATAGTAATCCAGAGAAAACCAAATATCTTTTTCCAACTCCTTGCTCAATTTTGCCTTTACTCCATTCAGTCTGTCCAAGATTGCATGTCCAATAACCTATTCTTTATCAAATATCTGTAGCTTCTGTTCCCTCCTTAGTCATCATTTAGCCTCTTCTGACACCACCTGACCCGTATGCTAAAAACCTTGTTCATTTATCTCTCGTTCTTATCGTTTTGGTGCCTTCTTTTCTTCCAGGGTTTCATTCAGACCATGCAGCTCTTGCCCCTTGTCATGGGCAGAATTTGCAGTCGTCTTCTTTCATTATACAAATTCAAATATTAATCTAGTTCTCCAGATCCATTTCAGTGAATGCAGTGCTCTTTAAAAGCAGTATTGTTAGTAAAGCATTTGTGTATCTTGAGTGCAAATCTTTCAATTTAAAATTAGGAAAAGCCCAGATAAATTGTTGGGAAAAGAATGTGAATTGCTTTGCTTATTTCACCTGCAAATATTTCAACTCAGCACATTGATATACAAAATATTACTATAGTTTTGTTTGCATCACATACAAAAGCATCTAACATTTCTGAAAGCCTAGGAAACTCGGGGACTTTTTTCTTCGTTGCCCAGGTGTCTGCATATTTGATACTTTGGGGGAAATAAAACACATTCCCAGATCTGTTATAAGAACATTTTGACAGAAAATTTTTTTTCTTTTTTTTTCCTATGGAATTTTGAAGCTTGGTGTTTGTGGTGTTATAATTATATTCAAGATATAGTTAGTCTTTAGCACTTAAAAAATGTCAGCTGCCTGTCAAGTGTTTCTGTTCACAGACATTCTTTCTGGTGCATCCTACAGGGGTACCTGCTATGACTTTGGTTCTGAGAACTCAACGCTGAGCACTCCTGATCTCCTCTGCTCATAGACAGAGCCATTTCTGCCATGACAGAATGGCCCTGCTTCTGATTCACTATCAGCTTTTATAAAGGTTTGCAACTTGTTGGTGCTTCTACTGCTTGTCAAGCACAAATGCCTTACGGTGGCCTTATGAATTACAGTGAACTCTGACCTTTTGAATATAAAACAGCTTTATGAAGCAGGGAAGGATCCAAAGCCTCCATCTGTGGCAAAGCAACACTCCAATCTACATTGGGAACAAAGGATATGATATTTCCTCTGTGTATGTTCATTGAGCAAGAAGGGCAAGTGGGCTATCAATCTCTGCTTCTCCTCAGGAGGATCAGTGTGTGGAAGGGGGCATTTTCTGCCAAGTTTGAGTCTGTCAGGTAAGGAATTGGTGATGACCTTAAATTTCTGAAAGATCCTCTGGGCACCTGTTACCCCTTGGAAACAACCTCACCACCCACTCCTTTAAGAGTATATTAGAATGTTTTTTTTGGATCCGGATGATTGCTTGACTCTTCCTTCTGATAAAAAAAGAAAAGAATTCCCTAGAAAGAGATAGTAATACCAAGAGAAACCTGCTGCTTCTGCTGTGATAAGTTCTCTTTCATTTATGTGAAAATAAAAACTCTAAAGAATGTCAGAAGTGGCTTTTCTTTAGAAAAAATGTCTCATTTCTTCCCAAAAGGACATTTACATCCAAAGGCCAGCCAGCCAGCCCCAAATATAATTTTACAAATTGTTACATCTACTTTTAGACACAAATCCTTTGATGTTCTCAGTGGGGTTCTACATGAAGGAAAAGGTTCATTTATGGGAGTCTAATTATAAGAAAAGAGCTCTAACTTGAAAATACAGCACCTGCCATCTCAGTATAGTGTTAGATGGTTGGCAAAGTTCTGAAAGCAAGTTTTGTGGAACATCAGGACTAGATTTTCAGATAATGACTCTCCATCTCCAGCTGACATCAGCTGGAATTCCTTGTTCTTGAGACTACCAGGAAGTAGAGCTTTTATGCCTTGCTTTACATATCACCCATTTTAGAATATTTTCCCAGGGAAGCTGAGTGTTTTCCATAAAAAGAAAAACTCTACTGCAACTTTTACTCAATTTCAATATTTGTCAAAAAAAGTAGTCTTCTTCCTCCAAATAACTGAGTTAAGGTTTGCAGCCAAAGTTTGACATCTTGAGTTTAATGTAATCAAAGTGCACAAGAAAACTTGCACATAATTTAGACATCGAAAGCACTTGTTTAAAAAGGAAGAGTAGGTTTAATTGAGCATACAGCCATGTCAACTTGTCACTCCTGGAGCAGGTAGTGTCGCTGTGGATGTCTGACTAAATCCTGAATTTTCAGGGGAAAGGGACTAATCCAGCATTGTTCTGACACCTAATGACCCAATGGAAAATGGAGGACATTTGGGATTCACAATATGTTCAAGCCTGGTGAGGCACGAGAGCAGAAATAGTAAAGTTTTATCCCTTTGATTTCTTCAAACTGGAAAGTATTGGCTTAGTTGAATATAGGGAAGAGAAAGAAGCCCAGCTCGACTCAGTATTTTGACTTTTGTCAGAATTATGCAATTGGATTTCTGTAGGCTGACTTTCTGTAGGGTCATAGTTAACCTGGAAGCAATGCTTTACACAGTGCTAAACAAATCTGGCTGAGCAGGACTGGCTGCAGAAATCAGAGCCTCATTAGTTAAAAGGCAAGGATCAGAAATGCTTATCAAACACAGTACACGTTTCGAATGAATAGAGGAGACTGGATTTCACAGCAACTCCCACTAGTACTATCGTACTATCTGAGGAATATAAAGGGTAGAGCATAGCTCTGCCAAAAAGACCTGGGGGGAGTGGTGGATGACAGCTGGACATGAGCCTGCAGTGTGCTCTCACATCCCAGAAAGCCAGCCGTATCCTGGGCTGTAAGAAACGCGGCTAGCAGGTCAGGGAGCTGATCCTGCCCCTCTGCTCTGTGTTATGAGGCCTTACCTGTGTCCAGATGCAGAGTCCTCAGTACAGGAGAGACACTGACCTGTTTGAGAACCTCCAGAGGAGGGTCACAGAAATGATCCAAGAGTTGGAACACCTCTCCTATGGGACAGGCTGAGAGAGCTGGAACTGTTCAGCCTGGATAAGAGAGGGCTTTGCAGAGACCCAAGTGTGGCCTTTCAATACCTAAAAGGGGGCTGTAAGAAAGAAGGGGACAGACTCTTTAGCAGAGTCTGTGTTGATAGAACCAAGGGAAATGGTTTCAAGCTAAAAGAGGGAGACTGAGACTGGATATAAGGAAGAAGCTTTTTTAAAATAAGGGTGGTTGCCCAGAGAGGTGGTGAATGTCATGTCTCTGGAGAAAGTCAACGTCAGGCTGAGCGGGGCTGTGAGCATCAGATCGAGCTGTAGGTGTCCCTGCTCCTTGTATGGGAGCTGAACCAGATGACCTTTAATGGTCCCTTCCAACTCAAACAATTCTATGATTCTATAATTTGGTGATGATTTAATGAATATCTAAAATGGTGTAATGTACTTGTCAACATAATTGCATGATTGTATGATGATCCTGTTAAGCATTACAATTTATTTTTCCACTTTTTTCTTGTTGTTGTTGTTTTGGGTAATGTTGGATCGTATTTTTAAGCAGCTATATGTGAATTACAAAGGAAAGAAACAGGTAAGAAAACTTATAATTCAAATACTGTCATGAACTGGCTTTTTAGACGTAAGCAGCTATGATAACTTTACTCCTTCCTTATATCTCTTTATATACAGGACTTCATAATGGTAACAGCAAAAGGAAGAGAAGCAAAATATTCAAAAAAATTCAAGAGAATTACGTGCATTTCTCAGAAAATCATGCAATACAGATGGTTAATCATAGCACCTTAGCTGTTGGATTTAAAAAAATTGGGACCTCTTGGTCTTCCTTTACTGAAAGACCAGCTAAACAAGGAAAGATAAGCAATGAAAAGTCACAGGGAAGTGTGGTGGTTTGCTAAGACTGCTCAGTATAAGTCAGTAACAGAGCTGGAAAGAGAACCGAAGAATTTTGACATTACAACTTAACCTGGAAGGCTATTACCTTCCTGGTGTGCTTCCTCATCAACACATTTACAGCATGCTTACAAACCTTTTGTCCAGGAGGTACCCTATTCTCCAGCACCTTGCTGCTGCTACTGAAGGTAAACATTGTTTCTTTTCTGTAGAAGGCTTTGACTTTCCTTTTTCAGTCATTTCTTAAGAGTCATATGCCACATGGGAGCACCATTCCCCAAAAAGGGACAGCTTAGTTTCATCATGCTCTGTGTTTCTTCCCACAGAGGCTCTCTGTGTGCCCCTGCCATAAGTTCCAGCATCCCTGGGGACAGCAGCAGTCTTGCAGGGAGCGGGTGGCAGTCCCAGGGCCCTGCCCTGTTCCCAGCCTGAAGGACACCTAGAGATGCAAAATAGCCCCACTGAGGACCTGCAGGGCGACCTCCCTGAGAGTGGAGCCTCCACCCACTGCGGTGATATTACAGAACATTTCAGGCCTCACAGCACTGCATGCTTATGAGGATACAACCTTAATACCATCAAGCAGCAAGTCACTGGGAGGGCTGCATGTTGGTGTGAATGCTTGTGTGGTATACTGCAAATACACAAGATATGACACATTACTAGCAAAAATGAGTTAACTTGAAATCCCACCTAGGCTGGGCTTTTCTCAGTTCTATTAAAACATTTACATATTATTAAATACAATCACAAAATAACACACTAGTAGTTTTACTGTCAAATAAATACCTTGTAAATACAAGGATTTCTTACCACCATCACCACTCCATTTATCTTTTGCTTAAATCCTTCCTCTCCAGAAATAATACAAATCAAGCCTCTGGGGCCTGTTTATGTAATGGGGATTTATGTCATTTCAAGACAAATGGCATTTGCTAAGTTTCAGGAAAACACCTGTATTAATTGTATTTCCTGCTCATGTGTTGCTTTTGTTTGCAAAAAAAGAATTCATCTCAGGTGAGTTAACCTTGCTTTTAGAAAGGGCACCTGCAGTTATCTTAGTTCTTATTGTAAATCAAAACATGTTGAGCCTTTAAAGCAGTGAAATAAAGAGGTGCTGACAAGAGGGTATGCCAATAGGATTAGGAGCTTTTCTCACTGCTTGTATTATCGGGATGGAGAATTGAGTCATGTTAAATTACAGGGGGAAGAGATATTCCCAGAAATTCCACAGATCGGAGATTGACTCTCCTTCTGTAAGCCTATGGATAGGAGGGGCATTCTGTGCTTGGAGAGATTAAGAAGGAGAAAAAAAAAAAAAAGAAGAGGAGAAAAAGACACCTCCCTTTTAGCCTTAGGCGTCTATAATTGACCAAGATTTTTCTGCTTGTGATTTGATCCATCCAAACCCTGTTAGAGGCACTTGCCCCCAACTGAGACCAAGGCTGAGGTGAATGAGAATTAGGTGACTCACTCATATGTACTATAAGTGCATTCACATCTATTAGGATAAATGACATGTCATTCAATTTAAGCACAGGCAACTGGAGATTGTCATATTTTGAAAATGACAACTGTTATTTATTTATTGAGAATATTTATACAGGTTTTTCCTAGGTACGGAGAATGCATTTTTCAGCAGCCACCGAGACATGGGTGAATCAGGCAATTACACAAAAACCAGAGGGGCAGAGAAACAAAGCTGACGTGTACTGACCACAGGGGCTGGGTCAGCAGAGATGAATGGTGCTAAGCCACCAGAGTCATTAAGCTGACATTGTTCTGTGGTCATTTTAAAAGGACTGATCACAATGCTCTAACCCCGGCTGTATTAATACGGTATTGCAGCAAGCAGTGTGTTAGATGGAAACAGGCAACCATGATCTAGCCCAGTTTTTAAGAATGGAAAAACTGGAACTAATCTGATGCTGATTTCCTGGATCTGGGGGCTAGGAGGAGATGGGAAGGTGAGGCTCACCTTCCTCTGCCCTCACCCCAATGCATCCTCCACCCTGCAGCAAGGCTAGGCTTGGGCTTCCTCCTTACCGTTCCTGTTTAGATTAGGGGCATCTTTGTCTACCTCCATTGCTGGTCTGAGAGCTACTGCTTTAGAAAAACCATCGTTGTTAGTGCCTTTCAAAAACACTACCAACAATGTTCTATCTCATTCTTAAATGCAGATAGTTCATTAAATAGAAAGATAAGTAGATAGGTAGGTGGATAGATGGATAGATATAAAGACCAACAGATGAAAAAGAAAAACTGATGTGATTATAAAGAGACAACATTATCAAGGTGGATATGAGTTTCCCACTTTTATATGGGTACAAAACAGAACTGTTACATTTATGTCCAGTCTTCGGTATGCTAAATTATCACTGCAGCTCAATGGGATGCTCTCTAGAGTGGACACAAGGGACTGAGTTTAGTATTGATTTTTTTTCCCTAGATGTCATTATTATATTTGTTTTCCAATGTATTTAACTTCTAATACATTTAATGCTTCTATCTCTCAGAATTCCGTTTTCTTTTTTTCCTTTATTGATTGATAATCTTTTGGGGTTTATTCTTCCATAATTCTGACCTCCACACATTACACAGGAAGCTGGAGCACTCTATATCTTTTAGAAGTTCTG